AGCTGCATCGAGTCGAGCTCCTTGAAATGATCCCAGAGGCAGTACTGCAAATGACATTGGATTAGCATGGTTATGGTTTTGACATTAGTATGTAATACCCTGTTCTTTGGAACTAATTACACTTAATAAGTTGCACTACCATTAGGAGGTTAGTGCGTGTAATTTTGTTGGGTGCAACCATCAGCTCATGTGAGTACCATTTTTCAGATGATTCTCAAACATAAACCCCCCACCCCACCCCACCCCACCCCAAAACAAATAAAAAGGGAAAATGAGGACCAATGGGGTGAGACAGAAAGAGTAAAAACTGTCTGTCCATAGTCTCTTCATATTCATCCTTTATAGCTAAAATGAGCATATGATCTCAAATAGTACTATTTTATGTATCAAGGAAATTCTTGAACCACCACTAAGGTCTCAATTTAACACACTATTAACTTGAGTCACAGGTCAGAAATAGACTATTACTAAGAAAAACTTTGAACCTCTAACTGCATACATCAATCCAAGCAGGAAACAAAAAGCACAAGAAATTTGCACTGTTCTATCTTCATTTGTCTTTTCTTTTTTTCCGACTTGCGTCAAGATGAGATGTAAGTTTTCCCTTTCTAGAGATTAGGGGATGTAACAATTGAACCCCCGCCCCCCTCCCCGATTCCCCAGGTGCAAACGATCACGTAAAACAACTTGGCAAGGATACATTTGAGCAAAAGGCATACCTGCAGAGTGAACTTATGGTTTTTGTCATGGCTGCATAACTTGGAAGCTAGAGCACAATAGTACTTGTTAAAAGCTTTCTCCTGTAAACAGCATTCTACCAAAACTCTCATGATTTCCCTATCCTGCATGTATAGATATTAAAGAATTTACACACTTGAAGCACAGAGCCAGTGTGATCCCACAAGTGGGGTCTGGGGATGGTACAGTGTACGCAGACCTTACCCCTACCTAGTGTGAGGTAGAGAGGCGTTTTTGATAGACAAGCACAACAATAAATTACAGGGAATTCAACCAAGGGGTGCCAACCTGCTTGCCTGACAAATCCAATCTTAGAAGTTTCTCAAATGCATCAATATAGTCCTCCCCACTCATTATTACGCAGAATATTGCCCTTCTTGCATCAGTGTTCATCCTCTGAGCAGCGGCAAGCTGGAGCATCTTTTGAGCCTCAGTGACCTCCAAGTCAATTGTGTTGGCAACATCTTGAATATCAGTTGTTGTGGAATCAATATTCCCAGCTATCCACCATTGGCCTCTCTTGTAAGGATCAAGAAGCTTGCTCCACTTCAATCCACGAATCAATATATCATCTATTCTAAGCTGCGATTAAGATTAGCAAAGCACATAACGAAATTAACATGTACATCCAAGGATGACAGATGATGAGACAATGGTGAGTGTGGTAATCTAAGGAATGTCAAATTTAATGGAATTTGGCAAGCTTATTACCATCACGTGTTGCTTTTGTCCATCCAAATAACAAAAGAATAGCTTTGCAACTTATTTACAGAGTATTTTTTGCCCTCTACATTTATCTTTCGCAGAAAATTATTGAATCTTGCAAGAGTAGTGTTCTACCACTACTAGATCGACAAATATATCCATTAGTTTCTCTAGAGCGCAAGCCAGCACATTTTCACTAGATTTAAAAGGCCATCTTCCACAAAATCCAATCATGAACCAATTTTTGCATTAAAGTAAAATAAAGATTGGACATAAAATGGATCTCATATCTGGTTAAGACAACAACAACAACAACAACCCAGTATAATCCCACACGTGGGGTCTGGGGAGGGTAATATGTACGCAGACCTTACCCCTACCCCGAAGGGTAGAGAGGCTGTTTCCAGGAGACCCTCGACTCATAAAGCAACAGAAGCCGATATAGTAGTACCATAAAAATGCATAATAAAATAATAGCAATACAATAGATATGAAATACAGAATATGACATACGAAAAAGATGACTGGTATAGTAAGACTAGCAGGTAAAGCCTTGCATCAATAGATGACCAATGACATTCTGGTTAAGAATGATGTAATATCAGTCCTGGAGCATTTAAATATTTCTTCTGCATATCCAATTACCAGATATAGAGTTAGTTAAAATATAGACACAGTAAGTAAAACATGAGTTCTTTTAGTACTCACAAGGGACAAACAAATTTATAACTCCAAAAAGAAAAGATACTAGAAGAGGGGAAAAGGGAGGTGGAGGAATCAACAAAAAAGTTCCAGAATTGGAAATGAAGAAGTGAGTCGGTTGAACCATATAGATACTGGCTCAGAAAGAAGAAAGAAAGGGAGAGCTTTCTATTAAGTATACTTTCGGAGAATGATCAGGAAAGGTTCATCTGAAAGGAAAAGGTGCAAATGACTTATCGGGCAGCTTTGCTACTCACCGAGGAAATTCACTTTTTCGATCTCCATATACATACAACAAAAACAACTATGCCTCAGTCCCAAACAAGTTGGGGCTAGTGACATGAATCCTTGCTTCTTTCTTTAAGCTCAACTGATATCTTCATCATACCAAAATAAAATAAAACTGAAAGTGAATATATATATATATAATAATAATATTACAAGTTCACTAGCAAGTCTAAAACATATTTCCAACTAGGAGGTATCACCTATATGGATCTTTTTCTTCTATCGTGCCCTATCTTAAAAGCCAAATCTTCATTGGTTCCAAGGATTTATAGGTCTTTCGAGATCACTTCCTTCCATGTGATTTTAGGTCTACCCGTCTCATTTTAACAGTTTCACTCACCATAGTTTCACACCTATGGACCGATGCATCTGTAGGTCGATGCAGGACATGACCAAACAATCTAATATATACTTGCACCTTCTAGTGAATGTGGTCATTTTCAATCTTATCTAATCTTGTATGGACGCACATTCATCTTAGCATATGTATCTCTGCAACACTCATGTAGTGAATATATTGGACTTTAGCCCAACATTCACTCTATATAACATTACCAGTCTTATAGCTATTCTATAGAACTTACTTTTCACTTTGGTAAGCATCCTTTTATCACATAACACCCCGGTAGCACTTCACTATTTCAACCATCTAATTATAATCCAATAAGTAACATCTTCATCTATCATTCCATTCTCTTAAAACAACAAGCCTGGATATCTAAATTGTTTACACTTTGGCACCGCCATACCATTTAATCTCACCTCAACTTCGTTCTTCTCATGCTGACTAAACTTACCGTGCATGTATTCAGTCTTACTTCTACTCATCCTAAAGCCTTTATTCTATAAGGTGCTTCTCCATAGCTCAAGCTTTTGGTTTGACACCCTCGCTAATTTCATCAATTAACACAATACAACAACAACAACAACAAACCCAGTAAAATCCCACAAGTGGGGTCTGGGAAGGGTAGTGTGTACGTATGCCTTACACGTACCTAATGAAGGTAGAAAGACTGTTTCCGAAAGACCCTCGACTCAAGAACATTAAAAATGAAGCAATACGAAAACAATAGCAACAACAAGGTAATGAGACAATCATCAATTAACACAATATCAAAAACAAATAGCACACACCATGAGACATCATCTTATATCGTGTTGGTTAGCTCAGCTATAACTAGGGTAAACAAGTAGGGGGCTCAATGCCGAACCTTGGTATAAATCAATTGTTATGGGAAACTCCTCTGTATCTCCTACTATTGTTTTCACACAAGTGACAGCTCCTTCTCCAAACATGATCCTTCCAATTCTTCCCTCTTCATCTTGATAATACACACTTCTTTTTTATGGTGGTAGTGTTCGGACTAGCTTGCGCCACCTCGACTAGTTCTACCGGGCATTTGCTACCTCCCACCAACACATTACGGGTAACCCTGTCTCCCAAGGTTTAGACACACACACGTGCACATATAATTGAAAGATCTCCTTTATTGCACAATTTGATGATTACGGTACTTTATGCATAAGGTCAAAGTACGTATTATGAAGAAAAATAAGATTTGAACTAGAGCATAGGCTTGACTAGATTGTTGGATTTGTGATTTGACGTCATCCACCAAAAAAAAAAGTATGTTCTACCTTTTATAGCTTTCAAATAGTTAAGTAGCAACCAATCCATCATGTGCAATCTCTTCTTTGTTACTAATCATCAACCAAATAGACCAGTTGTCTCTCCTACCTTTGATGTGCCTGTGCACTATCATGGGTCTCCTAGAGAGGAGTAGTTCAAGGGCAATCTATCATGTGTTTCCAAAAAGACCCTTTTTTTCTCTCAACAAAGAGAATACACTCTTAATTCAAAAAAATCAACTTTTTCTTGGTATGAAGCAATAAAGGCATTTGTGACCATAAATCAGAAGTGATAATTTGGCAATTGGAGAGCTGGATGCAAGTTGGACTGTTAGAGAGTCGTTATCAAGAATTTGTAGGAGAAAACTAGGAAGCCCCTGTGCCTAAACCAATTCTAGGGGCCAACCATTCTCCAAAATTTCATATAAGCACTGACAGAGACCTTGACACCCATAACAATGAGAAGCTAAGTTGCCCCGACATGGCAATTTAGTTTCCGCACCCGTGTAGACACGACACTAAAATGGGTATGGGTATGGGATCCGTACCGAATCTGGTCAAACAATTTTGGGTACTTTGACCACAACGAAAGGAAAAATTCGAGACGAGATACAATTTGATTCCCGAAATCAGAACCAACACTAGGGTAAATTTGAAGAAAGTAGCATACTTTATCTGCGAATGAATTCTTTACTTATCTACAACTTGAGAGTAAAAAAGAAATTCACGTTTTACAAGCTATACATAAGTATTCCACAAAATTTCTCATAATTTAGAGATATTTTTTATATTTTTTGAAATCTTTTCAGCCGGATCCCCGCACCCGTATTTGTACTAATATTTGTATCCCTGAATCTTAGAATTTACATTTCAAATGATCCGACCTCTAGATCTGCACCCGTGTCAAACACCCACACTCGTATCCGAGCAACTTAGATGAGAAGATGAATAGAACATTCAACGCAATGCTTGCTTAATTCACACGAATCATTTCCCAAGCAATCTCAAAGTATTGCTAGACTATTTCATGTTTTTCATCTTTATATTCAACTCAATTACAATTGAAGGAGAGTGTTGCATGACTAGTTGAAACCTATCTTTATTATTTCCTGAGAAAGACACCAGTACCAAAATTAGCATTCCAACTCTATCCTCCAGACCCAAAGGTCAAGGGGAACTCAATGCCTTGATTTCAGATATCAAAATTGGAGAAGACTCAAAAGGGAGCAGCAGGGAAGGCAGCTGTATAAATCGAAGATGAAGATGAAAATTTGTAGCTGGAATAACAGGGGTATAAACAATCACAAAAGGAGGAAAACAATTAAAATGCTGGTGAAAAGACGGAATGTTGACTTGTATTGTTTTCAAGAACCCAACCTAGGACAGTGCAGGATCGCTGCCCAATCATGCTGGAATCTGGTGAATTTGAAAAGAACAACTCCTATTTTAAGTTCGAGAATGTGTGGCTCGAAGATGAATCTTTCATTGACTTGGTTGGAAACTGGTGGAAATCCTCTGATATTCATGGGAAACCAGACAAAATGTTAGCCAGAAAGCTGAAAAGTTGAAGAAAGATATTAAAGAATGGAATAAAAAAGTATTTGGTAGACTGGAGGAAAGAAAAGCTAAATCCCTCAACAAGTTGGAAGAACTGTATGTTTCTGAGTTGGGTGTTCCTGCAGCAACTGGGAATTTATTGGAAAGGGGTGAAATTCTTAGAGAACTTGAATGCTAACACGGAGGAGACTTCCTGGAGGCAAAAATCTAGGCTGTGGATCCAAAAAGGAGACAAGAACACAAGTTATTTCCATGATGTGGCGACTGCTCATAGAGGTATAACTCTATTGATAAGCTGCAGACCAAAGGAGCTTGAAGATAAATCTGATGATATCAGATGGCATACAATAAAGTTTTAGGAACTTGTTTACTGAAAAGGAGCATTGGAGTGACAGCAGCATCTTGACTTTATCTCTGGAAGATAGAGAATGGTTGCAAAGGCCTTTCAACTTGGAAGAGCTTGATGCAGTGGTAAAGATGTTAGTTGGTGACAAGGCACCTGAGCTGGATGGCTTCGACATGACTTTCTTTCAAAAATGTTGGCACATTCTGAGAGACGATGTCTTTAAGTTTGATGAGCAATTTTACTATGAAGGCAATCTGGAGAGAAGTTTCAATGCAACTTTCATGATCCTCATCCCGAAAAAGAAAGGAGCTATGGAAATCAAGGATTTCAGGCCTATAAGTCTTTTGGGCAGCATTTAAAAGATCATATCAAAGGTGCTCGCCGAAAGATTGAAACTGGTTATTGGCAAGCTTGTCTCCGGCAACCAAAATGCATTTATTAAAGGAAACAGCAATTAGTGCTGTGCTGGGTAAATGAGTGGCTTGATCACTAACAGAAGGGAAAGAAATCTGGGGTGATATGCAAATTGGACATTGGGAAAGCCTTTGCTGGCGTAAACTGGGAATTCTTATTTAAGCTGATGGATTTAATGGGAGTTGGAGCCAAATGGATACAATACATCAAGTACTGCATTACTGCTGTTAGAGTATCCATCATCAATGGCTCTCCACAATGTTTCTTCCCCACACAGAAATGTTTGAGGCAAGACGATTCACTCACCTTTATCTTTTTATACTCGCAATGGAAGTTCTCAGCCTGATGCTTAAAAGGGCCACAGAATTAAAATGGATCGAAGGTTTTCAAGCACAAGGCAGAAATGGAAATAAAGTGGAAGTGTCGCATATCTTTTACGCTGATGACACCCTTGTTTTGTGTAGTGCAGATTAGTGTTTGAAAAAGCGATCGCTTCGTCGCTTTAAGCGCGAAGCGACGCGAAGCAACAAAGCATTGATTTTCCCAGAGAGAGGCGACTCGACCGTGTGAAGCGCACGCTTCAGTGGACAAATCGACAAAGCGTCGAAGCGATAAAGCGATAAAGCGATCGCTTCTGTTAAAAAATCGCAGTTGGGCCCTTTTTTAAAATAAAAAAAAAAAAATTGGGTCTGTTTGTAAATTATACAAAACAGACCCCTAAGCTCGCTTCTATAATTGCTCAACAAAACAAAGACCCCTTCTCTCTTCTTCATCGACAAAACTAGGGTTTCCAGGTAATTTTCTTCTTCTCCTTTCTTCTTCTCATTTTTTTCTTTCTTCTTTCTTTCTTCTTCTTGTTCCCATCCAGATGCTCCTATTTTTTCTTTCTTTTTCCTTCTTTCTTTCTTCCTTCTTCTTCCTTATTCTTTCTTTTTTCTTCTAAGTTCTGACCAGTCGCTGGAGTCCAGCGCTTGTTTGATTCTTCTGCTTCCTTTTTCCTTGTTTCTTCCATTATTTATATATGTTATATTTTTCAGTTTTTTTGATTTCTTTAGTGTATATTTCAGTATATAAAATTAATTATTATATATATGTTATATTTTCAGTTTATTTGATTAATTTTATATGTATTTCATTTTAGAAAATTCATTATTATATATATATTTTATACACACATATATATATATATATATATATATGTTATATTTTAGTTTATTTGATTTTTTTAATGTGTATTTCAGTTTATAAAATTAATTATTATATATATTATATGTATTTTAAGAATTGCGCTTCACTTCAATGAAGTGTGCGCTTCGCTTTGTGCTTTGCTTTTGAAGCGAGGCGAGCCCCTGTCGCTTTTTTGTGCCTCTCGCTCTCAAAAACACTAGTGCAGATAAAGGAAACTCTTGCATCTGAAAGCAATACTGTTAGCTTTTGACCCTATTTCTGGTTTGCGTGTAAATTGGGCAAAAAACCAGCATATTTTCAGTAAATTCTGATCACATCATTCACAAGCTGGCTGCTATCTTGTGTTGTAGGATTGAGAGTTCCCCTACCATTTACCTTGGTATTCCTTTAGGAGAAGAAATGATGATGCTAATGTCAGGCAACGGGTGATTGAGAAATGTGAAAGAAAGTGACACCATGGAAGCAGTTCATTTGTTTTAGGGTAGGCTGACACTAATGAACAGTGTCTTAGATGGGGTTTCCACACACATAATGACCCTATTTCCCATGCCTGTGAAAGTGAAAATAATAACTAGACAGGTTAAGGAGAAATGTCTTGTGGGACGGTAGCCAAGAAAAAAAGAAGGCCCATTTGGTAAAATGGGGAATTGTAAAATCTGGTGGTCTGGGAAAAAAAGAATTTAAAGTTGCAGAATAAAAGTTTGTTACTGAAGTGGCACTGGAGGCTTAATGATAACGGTAACGGCCTATGAAAAGATGTTATTTACTGTTAAATATGTTAAAAGTGAGGAATGTGTTGGTGCTAAAAAGGCGTATGGTGTGTCTGTCTGGAAGTACACCAGGAACCTTTGGGATGAATTTTTTGATAGCCTCAAGCTGAAAGATGGGAATTGAAGGAAGGTGAAGACGTCGACTGACAGGTGGCTTGACGATATTCCTTTAGAAGAACAATTTCCAGACCTTTATGAAATCTGTACAAATAAAAGTTGGCTGCACTGTAGCAGACTGCTACTCCACCTAGGGATGGAATCTTCATTTGAAAAGAAAGCTATTTGACTGGGAAATCGATGGCATTAATGATTTGATCCAAAATTTGGAAACAGCATCTCTTAGTGTTCATGTGACTGATACTTTGAGATAGAAATTTCAGAAAGATGGCAGGATCACAGTCGAGACATGTTATACAAAACTCTTGGGGAGAATGGAAGGAAATTATGATAGTTGGTCATGAATCATCTTTTGCTTCACTGTACCTTTACCAAGCAGATTTGGGCAAATTTCTGGCCATTTTTGGAGTTCAGTGGGTCATGCCAGGGTGCATTAAACTTGCTGTAAGTAGCTGGTATGAGCAGTACTCTACTAAGAACATAAGATTATATTGGAAAGCAATTCCTACTTGCATTTTCTGGAATATCTGGCAGGAAAGAGCAACAGATGTTCTAATGGTAGGAGAGAATCTACACGTTTAAAGAGTCTTTACTTATGGTGCAGGAAGGATATTGTATCTGACATGAACTCTATGTTAGATCTTTTGCGTTCCTTCAACATACAGAAGGAAAGCTTCTCTGTCGTAATCCTTTTGGTTACCTTCTTAGTACATTCTTTAATAAAATCTGACATGAACTCTATGTTAGATCTTTTGCCTTCCTTCAACATACAGAAGGAAAGCTTCTCTATCGCAATCCTTTTGGTTAACTTCTTAGTACACTCTTTAATAAAATAATTTACCTTTTTCATAAATAAAAAAAAGGAATTTATAAGATAGATGAAATGCTCAATGCAAAGGGGACCAAGATCAAATGATTAAAATGTGCCAATAGATAATTATTCATCCAAAACAGCTGAATCCAACAAGCACCTTTTGTAGCCATTTCTTTATTCGGGTAAGCTGCAAGGTATCCTCCTTGGTCCTTTTTTTATTGTTTTTGATATCACATATCATCTCAAGCATGAACTCCATCTGCCACAAAACCAGTACGCAAATATACAGATTAACGAGGTTCCAGAAACTTATGTGGTCAGCAGAGGTAGAATAAGAAGCAATCTTTTTAACAAAGCATTAGCATACCCTTTTTCCGATAGTGTTTGATTGCCCTTCTCCAGATGAAGCTTTCAATTCATTCACCCTATTCTGAACGCTAACTATAAAGTTCTTCATGCCAACGGGATCATCACCTCTCAATTTCATCCCACAAGCTGTTCAGCAAAATCATGTAGGATTAAATACTATATAATACTCGGACTAATCAGAACTGGAAAAAAAATCAGTTGCCAAAATACATTGTGTTTTGCCACATTGATACAAGAACCAGTTAGCTTCAAGGAAATTACTAAAACATTCCCATGATAATGCGAGTAATTTCACAGTTTATACGACTTATTCCTTCTGATATTCATTGGTCAAATTTTTCTATCCTTATAATTGATTTTCTAATGCTTATTTTGCATTCTACGCAACACGAACGAAGGAATTAGATAACAAATTTAAAGCTTTTACATACCACTTTGTGGTAAAAATTTTGGTAAGACACCCTATAGAGGTATCATATGAGCCCAAATAAAGGTCATCTTATCTATACTCTTTTTAGCATAAAAGCTGACAACAAAAATTTTAATTTAAAATGTTGAAAAAAGTGGAGCATTCTTCACGTTTGGAACATACAAAGATAGCAAGAAAAAACATTTGCCCAAGTTAAGAAAACTTTTTTTTTGGTGAAAAGAATGTTAAATCATAGAGTTATAAGAGATGAAGGGAAATAAGTCACCACGAATTAACACTGCCCGGTAACTCATGAATAATTTGTTTTAATTTCTCACTATTATTCAAGGAAGAGAGAACAGGCCAGGAGTAAAGAAGGAGAAAGTAATTGGATGATGATGATCAGATTATTCCAACAAAGAAAGCCACAGTCAGAAGGTAAGTTTATTACCTTGTAGGACTGTCAATATGGTAGAAACATCCACTTCTGTCAATCTATTGCTCAACGTCACCAGGAAATCATATATCAAGTCACTGAGAAGCATAAGAAATACAATTGAATTAATGAGGGTACGAATATATGAAAGTAACTACAGACTACTTCTCTTAATTCTACAAGGATTCACATCATGATTAAAATATAAAGAAGAAAAAGGACACAAGTTGCCAAAATTCACTGCAGCTCTTGTTGCTCCTTTGAAATCTAAGTGAGGGTATTCTCCTTTTTGTTTATTTACGGTAGCACATACAGGGCATGCAAGGAGAGGGAGGAGAGAGAAGATTGTCAATATTGCCTCTTACCCACAGGGGGACGAAGAGTAGTCATTTGCTTGACATGTGGAAAGTGGTAAGTATTACAAACATCTTTCTCTATGTTGCTCTCCTTAATTTATTTGCAAATAACATCTCTTGTATCTTTTCTGATAAGGTAAACGGAACTTCATTAAAGAAGCACCAAGTAGATGCAGGCATAACAAATAAAGTGAGCATAATCTTCCGGATAGATTTTCCAACTTTCTATTGACCACCACTTCTGTAGGCTTCCGTGATGTTGTAGACTTCTGTAGGCTTCCTTGATGTTGTAGACGACTACACCACGTACCCCCAAAAGAAGAAGATTATGGACCATATTCCTCTCACCATTTGACAGTGAAGTAGGAGGTGAGAAGCATCTTCAGATAGTTGTGCACATATAGCATCTATTGCTGAGTGAGGAAACCCCTCTTTGTTAACTTGTCATGTGTTAAACATCCTCCAGAGAGGGCTGTCCAAGTGAAACATGCAATCTTGGTAAGAATCTTAATTTTCTACACTAACTTCCAAAGCCAATTCTCTATGATGTTACTGCTACTGGACAATTTCAGGTAGCATGACTTCACAGCAAATAAACCATTACTGCTGCAACTCCACACCAGGTTTCCACAAAAGATTTACAACACCTCTAGTTCCCAATCTTGAATGTTTCTTCCAAGGAATAAACTCCAGTTTCCACCTCTACTGCATTGATTAGCAGAGGCATGTGAGAGTATCAGCTTATATAACTGCTGGAATTCATCCTTTAAGAGTACTAGAACCCAGCCATTTGTCTTCCCAGAATCTGACATATTCACCATTCCTGGCTTGAGTTGGGTATTGTTTCTATATTCATCCCATAGCTTACTTATAAATTTCCATGGGTTAATTCCATGTGATGCTTGGACTGTTTTAGTGTGCCAATAATCTTCTTCGCCATGTTTAGCCTTCATGATTTGTCTCCAAAATGCATTTTCCTCAGAAGAACATCTCTTCTTTTATCATAAAAGCATCATATACATTCTTGTTTAATCTAATACACATCACACGTTTTAGCAACTGCAAATTATGGTAAGACCTGAATCATAGGAGCCCGGCTGAATGTTCTTCTACCGGAATAAGGTAAATTCGTGAATGGCTAAAAAGGCTTAATTTTTGAACAATTTAACATGGGGTGTCAAATTATTTTTGGAATATTAGGGGCCCGTCTTCAATCCATATATTAACTTTGTTTCCTGAGGTTCACTTATGCAAGAACATCAGAGAAGTCTAGATCTATCTGATCCCACAAGAATGAGCTAATTTCCTACTCGTCTCCTCATATATTTAGCAACTTTACAAGTTACAGCAAATATATTGAAGGAAAGCACCATAGAAAATCTAACAACAAGAGTAAAAGAAACAAAGGAGATATGGAGGCATGTGTACAATGCCAAGGTTGTCCACCTAATAATCAAGTCAGAGAGTAATCGATTCAGATTTAGTGGTTACCTTAAGCAAACTCCAAAAGTGTACAAGTACGAGAGCAGAAGCATCAGGTTCCTAACAGACAGGTTATCTTCATTCAGATACTCATCCTAAATAAAACATACAACAAGTTATTTACGTTGTAAATTTATTTTGTTTTGAAGTTATGTGAGATGGGACAAGCAACATATGCTTTTAAACATTACTACATAACATAGACTTTAAGAAGATTAAATGCGCCTCCACTAAATTCCAACTCCTTTTTTTTGGAAAAAGTTCTTTGATCCATAAAACTACCACTTGTAAATGTGTCGATACCTCAAAACATTTAGCCAGAGATGCCAGAAGTTTTGCGCCAAAATCCATCCCAACCAAACATGTCATGCCAGCAACAAAAGCAGCAAAAACTGCTGCATACCTTTTACACAAAAAGTAAAAGAAATAAGTGAATTGAGAGTGCAAAATTCAGCACCAGAAGATGGAAAGTCGAGGTATATCAGTTATAACGGAAACATGTCATTAGTAAGAGGATAGTCAGATAGCACTAACAACTAGCTAGTTGGCCATCACCAATCTTCAAGTGTTAGAAAAGGAAATAAAATGGTGGGTGACAAAACTCAAAGAGACTGCATACCCTGATATGCCATCCACTTATGATGTTTGCTAAACTACAACCAGCCATCACATAAGCAAATAAATGTAACTCAGAGCATAATGAGAGAAAACAATAAGGCATTAAGGCTCAAGGAGTACTAAAAAGGTGCTAACTATTGTCGGACTTCTGCAGGTGTAACAAGCTGAAATAACTAAAATCAATATACAGATCACCAGAAAGATTGCTTTGTGCCACAAAACATCAAAAAGGTTTCTCTGATTTGCAGACTTAAGTCCATCTTCAATCAAATTTTGACAAACAAAATTTTTATCAGTACTATTTTCAAACACTCAGTCCACTTAGCTTCTGTGAAACCCTTGTTAGGAAACAAGCATCTTGAAGCAACGTTGACAGAAAATGATACAAGAAAATTAAGCTAATGTTGGTTCCAGCTTTGAAATCACTGTTCTCTAGAAAATTATTCAGAAATAAGCTTTCTCTAGAAAATTAGACTGGATAAATTGACTTCAGAAAAGACAAGGCAAATGCTTACTGTTCATTGCCACGAGGACCTCTAGAACATGATGCCAAAACCTCTTCACTGATAATCTGAGAACCAAAAGTTCGACCAACAGACTGCCAAGGGGGAAACACTAACGTTAGGTGTAAATCCAAGTAAGTCATTTTCTAATTCACGACAATAGAACAAGAAAATAATTTATGTTTAGGTATAGTCTCACTGGTCAGGATATTTTTAAAAGAAAAGGTATGCTGTTGTGATCAAGAAACTAACAAATCAATAAATATCAATATGACAGTATGAAACAAATATTCCTGAGAAGCTTGTATAGGTAGCTAAAGATATCTGAATGTAACAGCCACAAGTGTTAACTGTAAAGACAACAAGCGACGTCAATGATCTCTCTATCCTCTGAATGGTAGCAACAACAAACCCAGTGAGTTCCCACTAGATTCTTAGGATCTAACTCCCGAATTGCTAAATGTAATTAAAGAAGTCACTAACGGCTTTATCAGAACCACTGAGTCCAAACGCAGTAGGGGTAATCTGAAACCTCAAAGACATATACACCAATAAATTGTCTCAGCCATATATTTCACTATAAATTATGGATCCCTATCTTAGCAACAGGTAAATGGAACAGCACTGTGGAGTGTGGACAGTGCAGTTGGTGATAGAATGTTCATACAAGAAATCAGTCAGAATATTGGTGAAGAAACTCACAAATTTCTGAAGGAACTCCAACAAAATAATAAAGAAAGAAACTTTGCAGAAGAAAGAAACAGTGGCAACCCAAATTACAGAAGGCAGGTAGCCCGTAGCAGTCATCTCCCTATGTTTTTCCGGTTAGGTACATAAAAGCTTCAACACCATCTGATAATCAGGAGATGGAGAACATGGCTTTCTTCTTTTCTGAACTTGGTTTAATGAACTATTAAACCACAATAGCATACTGCCCAACAATGTTAGCAGAATCCTCTGTTTATGCTGCTCGAAGCACTCTCAACTATGGACTCAAACTCTGCAGCACCATACTGGCTTCTCAGAAACTCAGTTGATGGCAGTGTTTTGGAAAGCGTTAAGCGCAAAAAAGCGACGAGCGAGAAGCGCGAAGCGAAGCGCGTGCTTTTTTCATGTGAAGCGCAATTTAATACATAAATAAAAAAATAAAAAAATAGGCATAGATAAATGGCTAAGAACTCATTAAAAATAACATATTAAGCACTAGCAGTTAATTTTGAAGAACCAGAGCAGTGAGCACTAGCAGAAAACAAAAAAACAGAAAACAGAGCAATAAAACCAGAAAAACAGAGCATAAACCAGAAAAACAAAGCATAGTTTTAGGGCACAAAAACAGAGCATAGTTTTAGGGCACAAAAACAGAGCAATAAAAAGTGGAAAAAATAGAAAGAAGAAGAGAAAAATAGGGCAGAAGAACAGAGCATAAATTAGATGTCTAAAACAGAGCAATAGAAAGTGAAAAAAAGAGAAAGAAAAAGAGAAAAAAGGAGTCGAACAGAAGAAGAAGAAGAAGAACAGAAGAAGAACAGAAAAAGAAGAAGAAGAAGAAGAAGAGAAGAAGAGAGAAGAAAAAACTTACAGAGAACTGGAGAAGAAGCAGTCGTTGGAGCAGCAGTCGTTGGAGCAGCAGAAGAGCATATGTTTATTTGGCAACTGACGGTTTATTTGCCAAAATTTTTAAAAAAAAAAACCTAGCAGATGCCTTCATATCGCTTAAGCACGCTTTTTTGCGCTTTTTCCATCACAGCGCTTCTCGCTTAAGCGGTTAAAGCGTGCGCTTTTTTTATGTGAGTCGCGATAGAACAGAGCCTCGCATCGCTTCAACGCTTAAAGCGAGAAGCGAGCGCTTTTAATAACACTGGTTGATGGAATGCGCAAAAGCAATTGGTTAGATATCACTTAGGTGCTACAGAAAGTAAGCTCAAGGTCATTTATAGGAAGTTGTCTAGTCCAGATAGAGGTGATATCTCCTCCTTCCCACAAGCAAGAAATCTTATACCTACTACTACAACACCTCTTGTTGAATTTTATTTCTTAGTTTGGCAATGTTTTGAGATCATGTTATTGCTGTGATCTCTCTAGCTTCGACTAAGTGATGTGATACTGTGATTTGAGTTTTAAGTGTGAAAAACTCTTGGACAAACTATGGTTGATGATTTTACCTACTAGTGAAGTCATGTAAATACGGAATATATTGTTTTCGTGAATAAACTAGTTCATTCAAAAAAATTGGATTAGAATCAGTAGCATACCTGGTAGATCGTGGAAATTTCACTAGTGATCGATTCAACATTAGCCTCGGACATCCTATTCAGAAGACCTGAAAGAAATTGACTCAGTTAATGGTCTTCAGGGTGCAAGAAACACAGATCATTTTGCAAAAAAAAAATAAGTTTACAAAGTCAAGCAACACGAATGCAAGTTTACCAAACATCATACCTCTTAGTCGTCGACGAATTTGAGCATGCTCTTCTGATTCACTTCTGAGGTGTGACCTCAGGTGTGGAGCAACGTATTTTCCATTTCCTTTGGCAGCGGATCCAGCAGATAAAACTTCTCCAGCTGTTGCCTTCGCATCTGTACAGCATAGAGTGCTCTCAGCTTTCTGCTCTCCCTCCTGTTCTTGATCTTCTCCTTGTGCTTCTTTATTATATTTTTTCTCTTTATATCTTTTATTTGAGGAGCTCTTATCACTCCTTGGAGACACTTCTCCAGCAAGTTGTCTATTTTCATCCTCACAAGAATCTAGAACTGAAGATATTCCCTCAAATAACATATTCATTTCATCATCACCCCCCTGTAATCTCCCTCCCTTCACCTTGAGCTTCTTCGCAAGCTTTCTTTCCAAAGCCAGATCATCATCTGCTGAAATAACCCTTCCACGCATTTCAGTTTCAAGATACTCCTCAAACTTCGTTTTCTTTCTTTTCATCTTCTTTGACTCTTTTTGCTTGGTCTGTAAATCTGTGTTTCCGTGATCAACATCGCTAACACATGAAGGATCAAACTTCCCATCCTCAGGAACAAATTTACCATTTAAAACTTCATCCACCGACTTCTTTATCTGTTTCTTGCGCGAAGTGTCAATATCAGTACCCTCCAAAGATTCACTTCCTTCAAGTAACATATCAATATCATCATCTCCTTGCAATTTCTCATTCTTCACCTTGAGTTTCTTAGCGTGTTTTCTCTCCAATCTCAAATCTATGTCTGCGGAGGTAGCTTCTCCCTTCTTTTCCATTTCAAGGTACTCCATAAATATTGTCTTTGAATTTTTATTTGAGGCATCCTTTCTTTTCAAACTCCTATTTTCCACCTTAGAAGATTCCAACCGTGGAGATGCCTGCAAGTCAACACTGGACTCCATAGAGGTCTTTGCTTTTCTATTTGAGCCTTCTGTCCTTTTCAAGCTCCTATTTTCCACTTTAGAAGCATCTACCCGTGGAAAAGTTTCTAAGTCTTTCTTAACTCGAACGCTGGAATTTAAGGAAGGAAGATGTTCATGTCTTTGAGCTTGGCTATTCTTCCGTGACTGGATTGCCTGTGTTGATTTTAAATTTGGCAATGATCTCCGCATTTTTTGTGTTTGCTACAACCAAAAACAGAAGCCAGTGTCAGAAAAAAAATCCAGTCAAGGTGAATTTCCATGCTTTATCGTGGATCTAAAGTAATAGTTAAACCTTATGTCAAATAGAAAAACATCTGCATAAATAAATATTCTATATCTACATTAGTGTTTCGCCTCATCAAATGCCATTTGTCGGTTTTTCATGAACATCCTCATTAATTAGAAACCACACATCCCCACCCCCTCAAAAAAAAAGGAAGAAGGTGCTTATGCTCTAACAACAACCTAGTAATAGAAGCTTTTAAGATAAGATGCTTTAATAATAATAGTGATGTCCGGCCAGCTTGGCTGCACCCAGGCTAATCCACCAGGCAGCCTGTTACAGTCCACAACAAGTGTTCGCTAATTATGCCCACCAGGGCTGAATCACACTGATGTTGTAGTTAGGATTTTAACTTGATATCTCTAAATTGCTATTCCTAAAACTCAACCAAAATCTCTTCCTATATACTACCAGGCTAAAATAAAACAATATGCATATTTTCAATGTTTTTCAAGCTACATCCTGAATAAAAGAATTAATTGTACATCAGAAAAAAATAATTTACTTGATGTTGGAGCCATGAATCAAACTTCTTCTGCTTTTTAGCCGACCGAGCTTCTTTTCTAATTTCCTTACGAGACGTCCTCTTATCTGAAATCACAACACAAAAGCACCCCCATCAACAAAAAAAGATCGAACTTATAAAGGAAAATCTGAAAAACAGATTATTTAACACAGAAACAGACTTACCCATTATCCAATTCCGCTTCTAGCAATCCAAAAAAAAGTGTAATGGTGTTAATGTGAATATATAGAAAGAGAGAATTAGGGAATTAGGGTTTGTATGTGAGTATCAGCGAACAGAGGGTGGCCGAGCAGGAGCAGGAGCAGGAGCGGCGTAGTTGGGCTGCAAGTTAAGACATTAACGAGCTTTTAGCTAAAATTATCACTTATTTTAGCAGTAGAATAGAAAAAGCAAAATTTTGATACCAACTTACTTTGCTAAGTTAATATTTTCAAAAGAAAGAAAAAACTTACTCAAGTAAAATCAAGATTTTACTCAAAGAAACTTACAATATCAGTTGAAGTAGAGCTTCAATCCAGTAGCCGCCGGCGATTCGGACTGCCGGTCGCCGAATTTGAGCTCGAGCAGAAGCGGAAAAGGGTTAATTGAAAAAAAGGTTTTGTTTATTAGCTAAAGGGTTTAGGCGGGGAGGCGTTGGTTTTGTTTTTTAGTTTGGAAAAGGATAAAAGTAAGACTTTAGGTTAACTATTATGTACAAGTATTTAAGAATTCAAAAAAATAAAATAAAAAACCACTTGACTAAAATAATTTTAAAAAATAAAAAGAGCAGGAGGCAGGTTTCTAACCCGAATCCTTCAGGTAACTGAAGTGCTTGAGCAAGCTACAAAACAAACTCGTCTGCCTTGCTTTTGGTTACTAAGCAGATAAATTATTTAAGGGGTCCTAGTGTATATATAACAGTATATATACACTATATAACTTTGTCAATTATACATTGAGTTAATACCCTCAAACCCGTCTAAATTATACGATTTTTGTCAGTTTCCTACCTAAATTATCGAGTGTCCTGAAAACCTCGTGAACTATATCCCCTTCATAATAAAACTCTCATCGCTTATATAGCATATTGTGTGAAATCAGTTGCGCAAGAGCGCGTGAACAATGAAAATTAGCATGAAAATGGGCCCACCTGACAACTTGAATAAAGGCTAATTAGCCCATTTATTTAAAAAACTTATATTTTATCCCATTTTCTTTATACTAGTCTCTCGCTACGTGCGTTGCACGTGTATGCCAAGTCATATTATATAATTTTTGTAATAATAGCAATATTTATTATAAAAGCAAACATTTGAATAAATAAATATACATAAGTACTAAAATATAGTTTTTGTGAGTAATCAATGATTCATCGTATGATGAATTATTTGTAGGTAAAAAAGATTGGATATTGTCGGAATCTACAAAGATGAATAATCAATTTTTTTGTAAATAGCATCACAAACACCAAGAATATTTAACTTATCAAAATATTATAGTAGGTCATATTTTGAAAGGTGTATGAACCAATATAATAGAGTTAGAACATTTCTTTAAGCGGTGGCTAAAAAATGAAATTAACTTCATGGAAAATAGGTGAATACTATTATATCTGTTATGAATAGTTTGTACATTGGATACTACATTGGATACTACATTGAATGTCCATGTTGTGAATAACTTAAAGATTAAATTTGGCAAAATACATAAGTTGGCACCCGAACAATGGACCAAATCCCTGTTACACACTTTCTGTGGACACAAATAATATTACACACTCAACCTTTTAAAAGTGTGTCTAATACACCCCACTTTTTTCTTGACCACTTTACCTAAATATGGGTAATGTCACGCACCAATAAAGTCGTGACACGTGTCATTAACATAAATAAATAAATAAAACAAAAAATATAAAATTACACATATACCCTCATCTTCTCCAACTCCATCTCCTCCTCCACGGACCACCCAAAACATTAGAACACACAATTCAACCCAAAAATTAGAAGCCCAAGTGATTTAATCCCAGAAAGAAATAAAAACATCAAAAGCCAATAAGTCATGGCTCACACCACCATATCATCACCACAACAAGGTCATTGTTAAAAAAAATGCAACAATGGCAAAGGTAGATCGAAAATTACAACTGCTTGGGTACCATATCTATTGAAGCTTATCTACATCAACAAAGACATAAACGGACTATTTTCATTTATAGCTCTCTTCCAAAATTTTGTTTGTCATTTCCGCCATCGCCAACACCAATTTCAGAATAAAAAATTCAACCTCCTCTTCAAAATAGATTGGAAGCTTGAGATTAATGCAAAATATGTATATTTAATAGAAAATCTGAAAGAAAAAGAAAAAGAAGGGATTTGGTGGGGGGAGGTGTTGGCTGGCGGAAGAGAGAGATAGAGGAAGGGTGGGGAAGATGAGGAGATTGCAGACACATGGCATAAAATAAATAATTAGATTATATTTTTATTAGTAGACGCACTTCTATCGTGGTGTTTTACACATGCTGAGTCCTGGTCAAAAGCGATGTGTATTAGACACACTTTTAAAAGGTTAAGTGTGTAATATTATTTGAGTGCACAGAAAGTGTGTAGCAGGGATTTGGTCCATTGTTCGGGTGCCAACTTATGTATTTTGCCATTAAATTCCCTACTTTATGTCCATCGGCTTTACTTTTTATGTCTATAAAAGGCCATGTAATTGCAATGGAAAAATACACCAAAGTGAAAGAAGAAAACACTTCTCCCTTCTTTCTATCTCTTCTTATTTACATTTTACTGCATTACTTTTATTTTATAACACGTTATCACCACGAAGCTCTAATTTTATTCTTTAACTCCCGCTAAGTTGAGTCATATTTTATTAAGGTATGTATCATTATAATCATCTTATTTATGGCGGTACATATCATATGCTCACTGTTTGCAGATTACTTGTGCGCTTGGGCATCTTAAATAGTTTAAGTACATTACATTGATTAAATAACTACTTCCTTCCATGCTCAATTCTTAGAGGACCTCAAAGTCATCAAACTAGCTATGCACTAATGTCATGGACTTCCTGGATCAAAATATATCTTTAAGGCATTTTGAAGAACTGTGAGAAATGAATTGACAAGATAATTTTTTTAATTACTTTATATTTATTGGAACATATAAATAATGTTAGTCACGTTTAATTCTATTAACACATATATATCAATAATAAGTGAAATGAAACAAGTATGTAATTTCTACTTTATGGCAAGAATAAAATGAAATAGTAGATTGTTAACATGATATAGCTCTATTTTCATTTCGTTTAACTTAATCATTTTGTTTTCATTAATTATTTATTATTATAATTATTTATCTAACTTATTCATCTTTTATGATAGTTTTCACTATGTCAAATTTATCAAAACTTGAATTTGTGGCACTTGACATCACCGGAAGGAACTATTTATCATGGGTTCTTGATGCTGAAATTCACCTTGACGCTAAAGGTCTTGGAAATACTATTATACAAGGAAATGAAGCATCAAATCAGGATAAAGCGAAGGCCATGATTTTCCTTCGTCATCATCTACATGAAGGGTTAAAAACTGAATATTTAACCGTAAAAGATCCACTTGAATTATGGATTAATTTGAAGGATCGATATGACCACCTAAAACTTACGGTATTACCGAAAGCTCGGTATGAGTGGATACATTTAAGGTTGCAAGACTTTAAAACCGTAAGTGAGTATAATTCTGCTATCTTTAAAGTAAGTTCTCTATTAAAATTATGTGGAGACACTATCACAGATGAGGACTTATTGGAAAAAATATTTTCTACTTTTCACGCTTCAAATGTGGTGCTACAACAACAATGCCGTGAAAAAGGTTTTAAGAAATATTCTGAGTTAATCACATGCCTACTTGTGTCTGAGCAGAATAATACACTATTAATGAAAAATCAATGAAGTTCGTCCCACTGGGTCAACTCCATTTTNTATGATAAGTTTGAAAGAAAACAAAATAATTACCGTGGTCGTGGACATGGTCGTAAACGTGGACGTGGCAGGGGGCGAAACAATTATCGTCATTATGGTGGAAATAAATTGGAGAACAATAAGGGTTATCAAATTAATCATTCAAAAAGTAAAGCTAGTATGTGTCACCGATGTGGTATGAGAGGTCATTGGGCACGCATTTGTCGTACGCCAGAACATTTTGTCAAACTTTATCAAGCCTCCCTCAAGAAAAAAGAAAATAATGTGGAGGCACACTTGACCTTTCAAAATAATGATGATGAAGCAGGTCCCTCAAATAAATATGATTCTAAGGCACATCTTGCATATAAAGATGATGATTTTGAAGGCCTAACAAATATTACTCATTTAGAAGTTGGAGACTTCTTTGAGGATATTGACTGAAGAACTAATCATCTTACTGGGGAATGAAGCTATAAAAGTTGTTATTTTTATGTTTGCAACTAGTTTATTTTTCTTGAGTGTATTTTCCTAATGCATCATTTGTTGCTAGTTTCTACATTCCTAATGTATTTCTTAATGTTTTTTTCTGCTTGTCTTTCATATTTCTTATGATGTATTATTTTTTTTTTTATGAAGAATATGAAAATTCTCCAATCTTCAGTTGGACTCAAGATTAATAAAGATGATATATGTCTTCTGGATAGTGCTACAACACACGCTATTTTAAAAGATAAGAGATATTTCTCTTATTTGGTAATGAAAGAAGCGAATATTAATACAATATCCAGCAGTACAAGATTAATTGAAGGTTTTGGAAGAGACAATTTATTACTACCAGGAGGAACAAATTTGGCTAGTGATGAAACACTATATTAAAGAAACTTATTAAGTTTCAAAGATCTTCGCCAAAATGGCTATCATATTGAGACTACAAATGATGAAAAGATTGAATATCTTTATATTACTACAATAATGTC